CCTGCGTAAAGAGCGCTATATAAATGCAAGTTGTTGTTGTTGTAACTGCCTACTCTCACTGGCACATCCGCACTATACTGCCTCAGCCACAGGTCAGGGTGGGCAATACCTTATTCACAACAACAGAAACAAATATTTTGTTTCCATGTTATGTTTCACTTGTGTCAGTGTGAAAATATAGTATTTTGTACCTATATTGCTGCATTTATTCCTTGAGCAATCCCGTTAGAATTCCCCTTGACTTTCGGAAAAACTGCTCTTGAACTAGACTGCACGGTTTCAATGACATACTTCGAGCTATTTGGAAGGGTTTTTTTTCACAACCAATTAAGACATTTTGTTAAGGAAAAAATGACAAGTTACACCCACTGTATCATACAGCATACAAATCACAATTATTCCCATCATTTTTCTTAACGGAAAACTGTTAAAAAGTCATTGCTCTGATTAACAATCTTAGTGTCTTCTTAAAATATTGTAATGCATTGAAATGGAGCTCCTTTATTACTATCTATTCATATCAATTTAAAACTCCATTTGTCTCTCAGTGCTCTTTACTATAACCATTGACCCATAACATAAAAGGAACAAAAAGCACCCTCCTCAAATATGTCAAGGCTCAAATCGAGATTTGTGCCATCTAGTGGCTAATTTGCTAAGCAATTCCTAGTCGAATATCCAGAGACAAAAGAAAAATAGCATCGAAAATCTGAAAAAAGAGGAAAGGAAACAGAAGGATTGTACAAGAGGGGAATAGGAGGGGTCGGGGCTTCTGTGGAGTATAAATACCGGCACAGACTAGTTGAGCCAAATAGCCTGTGTGTGCGATATCGCTCTATGGCAGACTAGTTGAGCCAAATAGCCTGTGTCTGTGCGATATCGCTCTATGTAACTATATATATATATATATATATAGATAGATAGATCTCCTGATTGACCTGCTGTCATTTCCATCATTTCCCATTTGCATTAAAAGCATGAATTAGTTTTGTTCCAATGCGCTGCCGCGTTTCACCCTCAAAATATACTTTACAGTATATTCTGTGATGCACTTTGAGATGTCTCAAGACATGATAAGTTGTGATATCAAATGTAACGATTATTATTAATGTCCTTTGTGCCCAGAGAGAAAAAAAAGTACATTTTGCTTTTCTCAGGGACAGTTCCCTATGTTGTATGCCTGAGTAACTATGCTAGATATGTAAATGTGTTCTCATTACTTTAAATTAACAAAACAAGAAATTAACTTTCTTTTAACTATTTTCATTTTTTTATATTTTTATATTTTTATATTTTATATATTATATTTTATATTTTATATATTATATTATTATATTATTATATTTTATATATTATATATATTTTTATATTTTATATATTTTTAACTATTTTCATTTTTTTATATTTAAAAATGTATTGAATGGGAGACTTGATTTGTAGGAACGACTGAGTTAAACAGGCACAAGGAGATGAATTGTTACGAATGGAGCTGTCATTAACTCACCTATCTTACCTCAATAATTTTTAAAACTCTTTGTTAACTAGACTGCTTCACATCAGCACATTATTAAAACTCCACGTTGAAACAAAAATATTCATAAAGTAACAAAAACAGAATGAAATTATGACAATCATTTATATTTTTTTCAAAAAAGGACCGCTTATACTTTAAAAGCGGATAAATTAATTTGTATTTATACTGGCAAATATATTACAAAATAATCATTGCACACAGCATAGAACTATCTACTTGAGTAACAAAATCCAGAAAGATGTTTTGGGCCTATAGTCATAAAAAGAAATGAAAAGTTCCTATGATTGCTGCAAAATATTTGTTCACAAATGAAGGTTTTATTGATACTTTAAAATACAATATATATGCTCCATTGGCTTAATTATTTATATACAGTGCTGCAAAAACAAATATCAGTAGACACTTCAGAATGAATACCAAAGTTTGCTATGAATCATGCATTAAGCCAAAGCCAATGAAATTTCAATGATACATGTGCATTAATCTGCCTTGATGCTTCAGTATTGTACTTGATGCTTGTACTTAGTTAACAAGCTCAGGTGCCAAATGTCGCAGCTCCGTCAGTGAACCTGGGAAAGCCATTCACCAGCTAGAAATTAGACCTATGATTTTTTCCTTCCCACGCTTGGAGTATAGCAGTTTGATAGCTTACTGCTTTGTCGAATATTCAGTGTCTCGAAAAGTTTCCTCCTAGTCGTTTTCCAGTTCATTAATCGGCCATGTCAATGCCTTCATCCCCACAGGCCTTAAAAGTATATTAACTGTCGCTGCTTGGTGTATTAACAGAATGCAACCCTTTTTAATCATTGTAAATACTGAAAAGGGCCCCTTGGAATAACATGAAAATACTATAATAACACCTTACATTGATAAAGGGTATTCCACGTCACTGTAAAGTCTAGTTAACTATGCATTGTGTATGCAAACACAGCAGCCAGTTTGATAAAACAAATATGGCTAGTTATAATAATAATCCGTACGTTTGATACTTCATACAGCTCACAGGGGTTTATTGAAAAGACTAGTAACTACGTATTTTAGATTCTAGAATATTTTACCTGTGAAAAATATTGTTTCATATTAACGTGAATTCAGAATGGAATCACTTCAATTTTATAGTACGGCGGAACAAAGAGGCATTACCAGGCTATTGTAATGTGATTCCATTTCACATAGGTGTCAAATAGCTTACAACACAGATTGAAGGAAGACTGCCTAATGAAACAAAATGATGGCAAATCTAAGAATTTTATGGTACTCTAGCAAAAGCTAACAGCTGACGTAGGCTCGCCTACCTAAGCAGATAGTGCAGAACCTTTTATTAACGCTAAAGGAAATGACTCTAAATCTAGATTTGTGAGACCTTGTGCTAACTAATATCCTGTAATGAATTTCTTTATCATGGGATTTTCTAATGAAACTGTGTTGCAATAAGCTTGTGTTATCCTGATGCACTCAAGCTATCTGACTGTATTAAAGTCTTCATTAAAGGCTCATTGGTACACACCATACTTAAGCTATATAATTTTTACAGTTTTCAGATTTAATCCCCGAGAGTAATGGGATTCATCAAAATATTTTAAACTTTACACGCTGTGTATAATTTGTGCCACAACATGAAGCCTCTCATCCATGCTGGCTAAACAATAACTTGTACGTAAATGCAAGGTGGCAAAGGGAGGGCAAGGGAGAAGGAATATTATGGGACACAAAGCAGTGGAAGGGAAAAATAAAGGGAACCTGACTGAGGGCACAGTCGAACAAGCAGATATTTAGAAGAGTTTTAAAGCCTAAGAGACAAATGTTCATCTTAAAAACAACCAGCTCCCTAATTTCAATGCAATCATTATGAGAGATTATTTTACCAACTGTCTTAGTGACCAGTTCTACAAATTACAGACAAATAGTCTTAGATAATAGGTGTGGAGTTCTGCAGTTCACTGGTTAGAGCACTCGCCTCACAAACAAGAGACCTGGGTTCGATTCCCAGCAGGTCGAAACCTTGGGCAAGTTTCCTTACTCCATACACCTGATAATAATCCCTCAAGAAAAAAATAATGCATTGGTCACTTCAATCCACAACGGTTTGTGGGATGCTGCTGTGCGCAATTGGCTGCCGCATTTCACCCACAAATATACAGTCAATTCACTTTACAGTATATTGTGTAAAGCACTTTGAGACGTCTCGAAGACATGATAAGGGGCTATATCAAATGCAAGGATTATTTTACTTTATAGATAATTGTTACTTTATTAATATGATCAAAAGCACAAAACCTAGATCACATTGTACAATTACATCTTCAGATAAAAATATAGATGGAATGTACCAGTTCACCATTTAATTACAAAAATATCTTGCCTTACCTGTGATCCTTTCCTGATATATCATACGCCCCGGCCCCCTCAGCAGACAGCTCACCAACCACAACTCAATCAAGGTAGTGCCTTGCCTCTATCTTTATTGGATCCAATCTTGCACACGGCTGCAAACCGTTAGCTGCTTGCTTACTGGTGTTGTCCACACTCATTGCTACTTGTAACATATTGAGATGCATTTTTTTAATAAGATTGTGAATCACGTGCTTCTGTTCTGTGGACATGTTGAGTTTGTAACACTTTATTTTGGGAGACAAGGAGTTCATCAGCTTTCTCCAGAACTGTACTTAAACTATTTGAAATCATTTGATGTATTAAAATCATTCCAAAATTCAAAGAAGTACAAGCAGTACCATTACACCCAGAGTGTAATGCAGGAGAATAATAACAACTCCTTTTTGGTGAAAGGTTGTTCTAAACTAGAAGGGTGAAATTCAGTTTGTCAGCTAAATGCAGCAACTTTATCAGTGCAGTCAGAATAGAATTTTCTACATTACAAACACCCATCAACAAATAGGCATCAGCCAGTGTAGAGCCAAACAGCTGTAGGCTTTAATGGCAACTGATCAACCAAAGCAGTAGTAATTAAACCATTGCAATTGGCCTAGGAAGGGGAAAGTAGCAGTGTACTTTTCCAGTAACACTTTCTAAAAAATGTATGCATATGTGGATAAGGACTAAAGAGAGCTGCTCGAAGGGTGGGCATTTGTTACAAGCAAAGGCCCAATGGGCCAAATAGCTTCTTGAGTGATTTCATGATTCAATTATATGAATCTGAAGAAACAGAAATATATGTAAAGCAGTGGTATATTTATGGCATAATCAAGAAAATGTTGTTGGCTGACCATAATAGTTGGCCACCACTGACTTAAAATAAAAAATTCTGTACCATGAAATGGCTCAACAGATTTTAAAAAAGGAATCTATTCAAAAACATTACAGCTCAGGGATTATAATACACAATTATTACAGAACTATTTTATTGCATATTCCTGTGTACAGGAACCTTTATCTTAATGTGGATGTTAATATGCTGTGCTGCACCTCAGATACATTACAGAATAAAACCATTCAGAAATACAGAACAGAATGTTTCAAACAAATTTATTATGTTCCGCACAAATTCTATAAGAAAGGAATGCACAACAACTACAATTCAACTCAAAGCTGGGAATGCAAAGGTTACATGGATTAGAGCAAATGTCTTCAAGCTGGGGAGCATTTTTTTTTCTACCTATTTTAAAACACAGTAGTCAATATCTGTCAAGGTCTTCACTCGCTGTCCATTCCCAGAAAATAAAAAAAACTGTTCGGTTACTAGCAAACGTCACGAGTGGAAGTCACTGTGTCCTGTCAGGTGACTAGTCAGTCATCTGATGTGTCATGTCATTTGTCCTCATTCTGCAGAAACAAAAACATTTATAAGAGTGCTGTGAAAATAAAAAGGCGTTAATACAAGTCTATAAGGAATACAGGTACAGTTCAGAAATGGTCCAGAAAGAAAAGCCTGTATTTCTAACTTCCTATGAATGTAAACTTTAAGATATGTACAGTATTAACAGAATCCGTCCAAGGCACTAGGTCAAATTATAGGATGTTCCGTTTGCCGGTCTACTTACCAGGAAGAGCAGAAGGTCAAGACTAAAACCGTTCCCATTTATCAATTTTATTCTGGGGAAGATCACAAGGAACATGTGTGCTTGAAATCCCAGGCAATAGAATAAAGAAAACCGATTGAATTGTTTGGGGGGTAAGTAGGCACTTGTTCTTTCCCCCACTACCTCTTTTGGTAGCTTGATACAAGATCAGACTCTGCATTCCAGTCTGGAGTGAGGCTTGCTCTTGCGTAATCCATGTACGTATGCCAATCGCAAGTCATCTGGGCAAAGGAGAGAAAAAGCATGCCCTGGAGGCTTCTCTTCCCTTCCTCAAGGACACCCACAGCAAACCTGGCAAAACTGCATTAATACTATCCATGCAAATATAAACCACAATGCAAGACAGCCAGCACATGAAGGACAGTGTAAAAGTTCCACATTTGTATTGTGTAACAGATAAAATACATGGCGTGAATGATGGACGTGAACTGAAAAATGTAATCTTTTGCGGTTGTGTATTTAAAGGGGAAAGAAAAGCCAATTCTAGTAGAAAGCATGTTAGAATAATTGTTAGAAGAGTGGAACATGGAAAATCAGGGAAAAAATGTTAAATTAGTTTGATAACAGATTATCTTGACAAATTCACTGGGTTGCAACCAGTATAGAAAAATAAGAATTCTTTGAAGTATATGCATTTCGTTTTTAAAAACAGAAAATACATTGAGAAATGGACTGTTTTAAGCTTTTGAAACTGAGCCCAGTGTCTGAGGAGACAAGAACACTCAAGATGTAGAATAAAAGCACTCCTTTTAGGGAGTGCACCTGTCATATACTAAAATTTAATAATTTGGTAGAACAAGTGCTTATAGAGGCATTACATAAACATACCCCTCTGTAGAAAAGTGGTATTATGAGGAAATCCAATCACATTTAAGAAATCTGTTCATGGATTTCTTAAAATTGTAGTATGCATAAACTTTTACTTACTGCCTTAAAAACTAACAGACCGATCATCCTTCCAGGTTCAGTTTCAAAACAGTTGTTTAAAACTATTACGTTTTATACAAATGTATATTCAATAAAGCAAACAAAATGAATATTTTAACATCCAATTCCAGCGTTAAGGACTTACAGAGTATTTTGTTTTCACCACGTTTAAGAGTACACAAACCAGACAAGAGTTCCACATATGCATGCCACCTACACATGAAAATTTCCATGTGTCTGGAATGGAATGCACGCTCTCATTCTGCAGGGACGCAAGACAATATTGTGTAAAACACAAGCTTTGTACATTATCAGGGAAATGGATCATCGTGTCAGTTATTTCTGCTCTCCAACATGTTGTAAGTATAGATGATTATTATCTTTGACCTGACATTCACAAAACTAAGCTCTTGTTGCTTTTATCCACCAAAATAGGCACTCATGTCCACCAGGAAACTATAAATTGTCTGAAGAAAATACACTTAGGACTCCAGAAGAAGGAACAGATAAACCTTTAATCCCATTTGCCTTGAGTTGGACTTCAACTTGGGTGGCTACAAGTGATTACAAAGGCAGATATGCTAAATCAAGCTACAAATCACTTACCTGGACACAACCTTCCTTGCAGATTCTTAGTGTGTTCTCTGTCGCTTGTGCGACTCTTCCCTCGGAGGATCAGCTAACATTACTTTGAGTTTCACACCATTGACAACTTTGCCATGCAAAGCCTCCATGGCTTCGGCGGCATTGGCCCTTTCAGCAAACTTGACGTAGCCAATATTACGGCCCGGCACCAAGTAAACATCTATCAGGTTCCCGTAACGACTGGAAGGAAACAGAAATTATTCAATTTGTTTCTTTTTAATAAAAAATTATATGTAGATGGTTTTCTCCAGTAACATACGATTGATTTATGGTCTTCATGTGTTTTCAGAACTATATATGCTGATTTCTAATGTAAGCTTTAAAAGTAAACAATGCTTCAAAAGCAAAATGTACTCCTCCACAAAAAATAAGAACCAGAAGCCAAGTGCAAAGATGAACGCAATAAAGTGGTAACAATTAAACAGAAGCTATTCTCTTACATCAGCGACTGTTAATGTGAAAATTAATACTGCTTTAATAATCTTGCAATTTTAGCTACATCCGTGGATCAAGTTATAACATCCGAACACCTATGTTTACATATCAATCAGCAGCAAGTGCACCATATTGGGTCTTTTAAAGGGACCTCAACAGTCAAAACATATTCTTACCAGAACAGGTCCTCCAATATGTCAAGAGGCAAAACAGCTGGATTAAAGACCACAAACAGTCTCTCTCTGACGGCACTTTCAACAGGAGCAAACTGCTGACATGGAGGTACAGAAAAATCAACCTGAAGCCGAGATATCTGAGTAGTACTGGTGCTTCCTCCATAAGCCTGTAAAATAAACCAATAGTGATGCATTACATTATTTTATTTTCAGTTTTTCCCAATTCTGTATTAAAGTGACCACAATCACATACTGTTAATGTAATGCAAACTTTTGTATTTCTAGATGGCCATTGCAATATCAACACAAGAAAAGAGAGGTTTATAGGAATCTGATAATTAAGTCTGTATATATGTTGGAATTCATGCTGCAGTTATACTGCACAGACTATTTGTTTTTGGGACCAGTTTACTAATATTGTTCTCCTAAGGCAGCTTTATTTATAAAGCTGATAATTGTTTCTGCGGCAGTGCTTACACTATGACTAGGATTATAAACAGTCGCAACTCACTTAAGACACCATCAGCTTCACTCCCAATTTAAGGGGAAAAATAACAGATCAGATAAAAATAAATGACAAATGACAGTTTTGAAAGTGGTTAAGAACAGATAAACAATTTACTATCATTTAGAAATGTCAGTGAATGTTTAGCTTAAACGTTTTTCACCTGTAGTTCGGTACTCACAGGAGGTGGCATCATCTGCTGTCCAGTGGGACCACCACAGACCATTGACATCATCTGAGCTGCCACCAGCTGCAAGGCCATCATTCCAACTGGACTGTAAAGGGACAAACAATGAAGCAGATCTAGCGCTTTGCAAACTTAAACCAAACGGTGCCTCTAAGCTGCAGTTTTCACTACAAAAAGACACCAGAAAAGCAATAGAGTCCACATTTTCTCACATGTAACACAGAGACTTACTTTGATCGCCTATCTCCAGATTCGTCCTCAACATAACTGACTCCCAGTCTATTACCAGGTGGATATTCAAATCCATTCAGCTTTTCTCTTGCATAGACTGCTGAGGCCACATTGTTGTATCGAATAAGAGCATATCCTAGAGACAAACAATTATTTGTAGTCACTTCAAATAAATAAATAGAAGATGTAGGCATCTCAACTCTAAAAATGAATTATGGCAGATCTTTAATTTTAATTATAAAATTTAATTGTAAGATTTTAATTATAAAAATAATCAGCCTCTTGTGCAAACAGATTCCTGTGCAGACAACAAAAAATAACATTCATTGTTTTAACACACATGTTCTAATGTTACATTGCCACAGCTCAATTTTTGCTATAGAAATTAAGATCTGCACAACTGTGCCATCTACTGGCTTGATAAAACACTTTCAAATTTATATATACACATTCCAAAGTATTTACCTTTGCTGTAGCCCATGTAGGGATCTCTCTGAATTTCACAGCACTCCAGCCCTGGGATGAGATCAAATATACTATAAACCTGTTCATGTGTAAGGACTCCTCTCGTGGTCACTGAAAGGCATGTGGAAATGTTTTCTCCTCCTCTTACTTCACTCATTCCAAAGCTGCCAAACTCCCCTACATCGTCATTTAGAAAGGAGTAAAACAAATGAGGATTTATATATGAATTTTGCCATCATTATGGCAAAACTAATATGGACAATAATATGTAACTGCAGCAATCCACACTTCATCTAGATCTAAACTTTGTTTAATCTTTCTCATGCATTCACAATCCAAAGAATCAATTAGTAACTATTAACAATGAACTAATATTATAATTGTGAAGCAACAATCCTAATTGGTTCAATAATTAAGCTTCTGCACTTAAGAGTATAAATGAATATATATGAAACAACAATTACCAAAAGGAGACGTATTTTGGACTCTTGAAGGTTCATATCCTGTTCCATAAACTGTGGCATCTTGTCTGGGTGCATTCATATATTCATTTTCAGAAAATATATTTTGTTTGTTTCGAGGTTCCGCGAGTATTGCCTTAAAAGCTGTGCAGAAAAGTAATTGTAGTTAGTAAATACTGTATTGATGTAGTGATTTGCATTCATCATGTCCAGGATAGATTATACCAACTTTCTGCTTGATGGACTTTCCAACTCTTCCTGTCATAAGCTGCAGAACACCCAGAACTCTGCAGTCCGTACCCTCTCCTGCATCAGGCTCTGTGAGCCTAACACCCCATCCTCGCCCAGCTCCACTGGCTCCCCATCCCTCAGAGGATTGAGTTCAAAATCCTCCTGCTCACTTTTAAATCCCTTCATGGTCTTGCCATCTTACCAGGCACTGGCCTGCTTCACATCCTCCACCCCGCCTGCCCCACTATTAGGGCTTTCAGCCTCTCTGCCCCCACTCTCAGACAGTTTAAACATCTCAAATGATTCTTGCATGCATCACTCCAGCTACTGAGACAAGGTACAAAGATCCAGTCGCTTGGTAAATGTTGTAGTTTACAGAATGTCTTACTTCTTTCACAGTTTTCAATTGCTTGCGCAGCTTGAGATGGCTTCAGGAACCTCACATAGCCAAAGCCTTTGCTCTCCCCTGTAGTTTTATTCTTGATAACACTGCAGTATTCAATGTCTCCAAATTCCTAATAGATAAATAAAAATTCATAATTACCTATTTCTAAATTACCATTCAAGTATATAGGCTACAAGCACTTAAAATTTTTATAGAAAAATGTACTTAAACATATTCCTTAAGCGTGGATATATGCCTTGTACCTTAAAGTTTTCCCTCAGATCATCTTCAGAGTAGGACTTAGGAATCATTACAAAAATCCTCGTCAACTCCTCATCTTCCACGTCCCTGTGGCTTCCTGATCCTCTGGACTGTGCGATAAACACCTGTTTAAAAACAACATTTTATTAAAATAAAGTTCTTAAAAAAAATCTACTCTGTTAAAAAGACAAATATCTCAAGTGCTTTACACGAATAGTATCTTCAGATAAGCATGGAAGTTATAAATTAATTGCTAGGGGTTCTAGTTTTTCTCCAGTACAGAGAAAATTAACAGAAAATTATTTGGAATAACTGGGCCGACCAAAGTACACATATAATACATCAACCATTTCAGTGCTGCTGTGATATGACAGCAAGGTTCCGACTGATCGACAAATATCTGTCTACATCGTATTAAAATCCTCGCATTTAATATAGCGCCTTATCACGGCTTCTAGACGTCTCAAAGCGCTTCACAGGACACACTGTAAAGTGAATTGACTGGACTTTTGTGGGAGAAACGCGGCAGCCAATTGCGCTCGGCAGCGTCCCCACAAACGGTCGTGGATTGAAGTGACCAATTTATTATTGTTTTTTTGTCTCGAGGGATTATTATCAGGCGTGTGGAGTCGGGAAACTTGCCCGAGGTTTCGCTCTGCCGGGAACCGAACCCAGGTCTCTCGCTTGCGAGGCGAGCGCTCTAACCAGTGAGCCGCAGGACGTCCCCACGCCGAAGTTATTAAAAAGTGGTTGGCTGAGGCACCCGGCCGGACATTAGCCCAGACTCTGGCTAATAAAGCTCGTGATCAACACGCGCTGATCCGACTCCTCGAGAGTGATCGGAAAGACGGGTTGAAAATGACCCGAGTCCTGTAAAGAGAGGCGTTTAGATCTCGATTGCCTAATCCTGCAGACGCTCAAACGTTTGGGCAAATAAAATCACGATATTTTATCAGATTGACTATCACATTGACCTCCCACCCTCTCTCTCCCTCTCTCACTTTCACCCCCTCTCTCTCACTTTCACCCCCTCTCTCTCTCTCTCTCTCCCTCCCACCCCCCCTCTCCCTCCCACCCCCCCTCTCTCTCCCACCCCCCCTCCTCTCCCACCCCCCCTCTCCCTCCCACCCCCCCTCTCTCCCTCCCACCCTCTCTCTCTCTCTCCCTCCCACCTCCTCTCTCTCTCTCTCTCTCTCTCGGAGGAGGAGGAGAAAGAGGAACAAAAACGACGACGACGACGCGAGCGAACAAGAGCGCTGGCGGTGGGCCTAAGCGGGAGGGCGAGTCGGGGTGGGGGGGTGGGGTGGGTGGGGGGCGCCTCCGGTCACCTTGATGGGTTTGGTGTCCTCGGTCAGGGCCTTGCCGTGCATCTCCTCCATGGCCTTGCAGGCCTGCGACGACTTGGCGAACTTGACGTAGGCGATGCCCTTGTGGTCCTTGGTCTGCTTGTCGCGCACCACCCAGATGTCCTGCACCTCGCCGTAGTAGGAGAACTTGTCACGGATCACCTCCTCCGGCGTCGACTTGCTGATGACCAGGAAGAGGCGGCTGTTGGGCGGGTGGTCGAGGTTGGCCAGAGGCCTGGCCCCGGCCCCGCTCTCCTCCATTCCCGCCGTCGTCGTCGTCGACATCATCATCATCGTCGTCGTCGTCGTCGTGGTGATGGCGGTGAAAGTTATCGCCGCCGCTCCGCTCACCAACTGTCGCCGACCCGCGTCACCCGCTCTCTTTTATACCCAACCGCGCCCAGGAGTAGACGCGAGCACCGCCGCTGCACATACACACACACACACACACACACCGCCACCCCACAGCGCCCCCTCTGGCTCGGAGGACTCACTGCAATCCATCCATCCGCAATCACAGTCCTTGTTTGAGGCAACACTGAAATTCGGTGTTTTTTTACACGCACACACACACCATAAATCTCACACAGCAGTTGGGACCGTACCATACGTTTCATACGACTTACGCAAAGTACGAGTTATGTCAAGCTTGTAGAGAAGATAAACTCTTGAGCGGGACTTGGGCAGATGTACAATTTAGGCGATTATGTGATTTACACGGATTAGATTTACCCGAGTTCTACTGTACATCATTTAATCCTCGCATTTGATATAGTGCCCACGGCGCCGCAGTAATTGCTGTTAACTGTTAGTGACTTTTCTTTCTTGCATGGAAATTGGCAATTTGCACAGAGCAAATGTACGATACCACAAACAGCCATAAAACGAATACTGTACGTAATTTATCTGGAGATGGGTACCCAACAAACTGGGAGAAACTCCCTGCTCTTTTCAAATAGCGTTATAGGATCTTTCACATGCACCTGAACAGACAGAAAGTCTCTCAGTAACATCTCAACTGAAAGATGGCACTTTTAATAATTCACGATTCCCGGCAGGGTCAAACCTTGGGCAAGTTTCCTTACTCCACACGCCTGATAATAATCCCTCAAGAAAATAACACAATAATAAATTGGTCACTTCAAACCACAACTGTTTGTGGGACACTGATGTGCGCAATTGGCTGCCGCATTTCGCCCACAAATATACAGTCGATTCACTTCACAATCTATTCTGTGAAGCGCTTTGAAACGTCTCGAAGACATGAAAAGCGCTATATCAAATGCAAGGATTATTATTATTATTGCTCTCCCAGTATTGCAATGAATTGTCAGCCAAGAATAGACTAGGAGCTCAAAAGATACCAAAGTTGCAAACATGCCCCACCAAGTGTCAATGATATCGCCTATGGTAATCTACTTGTTTAACAGAATGATTATCACAATCATCTGATAATAATGATCTTTCCAATTTTTATTATCTCTTTCTCTCCCAAGACTATTACCATGATCGTTCCCTTGTTCTACAATGCCTCTTATAATAATCACCTCTCTCTCTCTCTCTAGAATTATTATGACCCCTCTCTTCTCTCCAATGACTATTATAATGACCCCTCACTCTTTCTGAAATAACTCTTTCTTATCTTTCTCCAATGACTATAATAATCTCTCTCCTCTCTCTCCAATGACTATTATAATGATCTGTCTCATATCTCTCTCTAAAGACTATTAAAGATATAATGATCTCTCCTCTATCTCTAAACACTATTATGATGATCTCTCTGTATTAACTATTATATTGATCTCGCTCTCTGTATTTCTCTCTCCCTCCATTGACTATTATATTGATCTCTCTCCCTCTATATATAGAGAATGATATTGACCTCTGTATAAATTAACTATTTTATTGATCTCTCTCTAAATAATGACTATTGTATTGATCTCTCCATATAATGACTGCTGTATTGATCTCTCAGTATATAATGACCACTGTATTGATCTCTCAGTATATAATGACCGCTGTATTGATCTCTCAGTATATAATGACCGCTGTATTGATCTCTCAGTATATAATGACCACTGTATTGATCTCTCAGTATATAATGACCGCTGTATTGATCACTCAGTATATAATGACCACTGTATTGATCTCTCTATATAATGACCACTGTATTGATCTCTCTATATAATGACCGCTGTATTGATCTCTCTATATAATGACCGCTGTATTGATCTCTCTGTATATAATGACCGCTGTATTGATCTCTCAGTACATAATGACCGCTGTATTGATCTCTCAGTATATAATGACCGCTGTATTGATCTCTCAGTACATAATGACCGCTGTATTGATCTCTCAGTACATAATGACCGCTGTATTGATCTCTCAGTATATAATGACCGCTGTATTGATCTCAGTACATAATGACCGCTGTATTGATCTCTCAGTATATAATGACCACTGTATTGATCTCTGTTATAATGACGTGTCACTGACTCCGCCCCTGAAGCGGCGGGTGATTGTGACCCGCGCTGCGCGTGCGCTGTGCGGTGCTAACGGTCGGGGTGGGCAGTGCGGCCGCTCCTCGCGCTTCCCGACCCCGAGAGGCCCTGTAACTGCCCCCCACCCCGAGACCGTCAGTGTAGCTGGTGAGGAGTGGGCCCGGGAGAGGGGGCGCCTGGCGGGGGGGGGGGTGCCTGGCTGGGGTGGGGGGCGCCTGGCTGGGGTGGGAGGGTGGGGGGCGCCTGGCTGGGGGGGAGGGTGCCTGGCTGGGGGGGGGTGGGGGGCGCCTGGCTGGGGTGGGGGGCGCCTGGCTGGGGTGGGGGGCGCCTGGCTGGGGTGGGAGGGTGGGGGGCGCCTGGCTGGGGGGGAGGGTGCCTGGCTGGGGGGGGGTGGGGGGCGCCTGGCTGGGGTGGGGGGCGCCTGGCTGGGGTGGGGGGCGCCTGGCTGGGGTGGGGGGCGCCTGGCTGGGGTGGGGGGCGCCTGGCTGGGGTGGGGGGCGCCTGGCTGGGGTGGGGGGGGGCGCCTGGCTGGGGGGGGGGTGCCTGGCTGGGGTGGGGGGTACCTGGCTGGGGTGGGGGGTGCCTGGCTGGGTGGGGGGCGCCTGGCTGGGGGGGAGGGTGGGGGGTGCTGGGGTGGGGGGCGCCTGGCTGGGGTGGGGGGCGCCTGGCTGGGTGGGGGGTACCTGGCTGGGGGGAGGGGCGCCTGGCTGGGTGGGGGGTGCCTGGCTGGGGTGGGGGGTGCCTGGCTGGGGGGGAGGGTGGGGGGTGCCTGGCTGGGTGGGGGGTGCCTGGCTGGGGTGGGGGGCGCCTGGCTGGGTGGGGGGTGCCTGGCTGGGTGGGGGGTGCCTGGCTGGGGTGGGGGGTGCCTGGCTGGGTGGGGGGCGCCTGGCTGGGTGCGGGGCGCCTGGCTGGGGTGGGGGGTGCCTGGCTGGGGTGGGGGGTGCCTGGCTGGGGTGGGGGGTGCCTGGCTGGGGTGGGGGGTGCCTGGCTGGGGGGGAGGGGCGCCTGGCTGGGTGGGGGTGCCTGGCTGGGGTGGGGGTGCCTGGCTGGGGGGGAGGGTGGGGGGTGCCTGGCTGTGGGGAGGGGCGCCTGGCTGGGGGGGGGCGCCTGGCTGGGGAGGGGGTGGGGGGCGCCTGGCTGGGGTGGGGGGTGCCTGGCTGGGGGGGGTGGGGGGCGCCTGGCTGGGGGAGGGGTGGGGGGCGCCTGGCTGGGGGGGGGCGCCTGGCTGGGGTGGGGGGTGCCTGGCTGGGGTGGGCGGTGGGGGGTGCCTGGCTGGGGTGGGGGGTGCCTGGCTGGGGTGGGGGTGCCTGGCTGGGGTGGGGGGTGCCTGGCTGGGGTGGGGGGTGCCTGGCTGGGGTGGGGGGTGCCTGGCTGGGGTGGGGGGTGCCTGGCTGGGGTGGGGGGTGCCTGGCTGGGGTGGGGGGTGCCTGGCTGGGGGGGAGGGTGGGGGGCGCCTGGCTGGGGGGGGGGAGGGTGGGGGGCGCCTGGCTGGGGTGGGAGGGTGGGGGGCGCCTGGCTGGGGTGGAGGGGGAGGGGGGGTGTCTTGTCTGGGGTGGTGGGGCCCTGTCCTGGGGGGAGTACAGTGACTTGACTGTATATTTGTGGCCGGAACTTACATAAGTCTTTTCTTTATCAACCGTGCGATCGCCGAAGTTGTACATCCGCCCGAGTCCCATCGAGTTTCCCTCTCGAAACCACTCCCGATTCCTATCTTATCGCCTCCCAACTCATCAACGCAACAAATCCAATCGGTGAACACTGCAAATTAGACCCAGTTATTAGCTCATGTTATTATCTTTCCTCTGTCTCTGAATTAATTAAGCGGAAAAGTTTGGTAATTCCGTCTCCGTCGCTGCATATTCTGAGCTGGGTTACCCATCTTATTTATCTTACCTAAAATGTGGGACAGATGTCCATGCGACCGCCAGGAAGGTGGAAGGTAAACCGGATGGAGTTTGGGTCTTTTTTCGTCTTGGCATTTCTTCCGGTCTTATGTTATGCAGAATAGTCTTTTCAGATGTTGAAGCTGGAATATTGGTGTGCGCCCGTTCTCTCTGGTCTTGTGTGTTAAGAACCTCACTGCTTCATGACACTTTTTTGGTGATTGACAACAAAATGTGATGCGGTTTAGACACGAATCCTAACGCTCCTCTTTTTGTCGTGGTAGGATCAAAATGGGTGACCCCGAGAAAGGAAAGAAAATATTTGCGCAGAAGTGCACTATGTGCCACACGATTGAAAAAGGTGGAAAACACTTAGTCGGTCCAAACCTGTGGGGTTTGTTTGGCCGTCAAACTGGGAAAGCTCCAGGGTACAGCTACAGTGATGCAAACAAAAGTAAAGGTACTGTCATCGGAACAATGGCTGATACTTACAGCTCAGTTTTAATAAAAATAATAATCCTTGCATTGGATATAGTGCCTTATCACGTCTTCGAGACCTCTCAAAGTGTTTCACAGAATATACTGTAAAGTGAGATTGACTGTATATTTTGTGGGTGAAACATGGCAGCCAATTGCGCACAGCAGTGTTCCACAAACAATCGTGGGTTGAGTGACTAATTTATTATCATTATTTTTTTTTTGAAGGAATTTTTGATTATTTATTCCTGAACTAAAATGTGCATTTATATTGTAGGGATCGTCTGGGGAGAAGCCACTTTAATGGAATATCTGGAAAACCCTAAAAAGTACATTCCCGGAACAAAAATGATATTTGTTGGTATCAAGAAGAAGAATGAACGTGCTGACCTCATTGCTTACCTAAAGAAAGCAGCATCATAATAACGTCTGAATTAACTTGCTTATTTGCATTCTGAAATTATTAGTCACCTTAAGTGCCGGTCAAGAATAAATCCTTCCAATATTTTACAAGCTTCTCCATCTTCAGTGCTAACCCGTTGTTTGAATTTTTTTTAACAATTAATCTTAGAAAAGCTATAATTTGATTGTGTAGCAAACGCCAAACATAGAATAAAAATGGAATACTTTTTCAAGACTGTTTCATTAATATAGAATTAAAATGGTGTATCACCATAAATAACAGCGATGTTCCACAAACAGTAACGGATACCAAAAGATTGACAACCTGCCACCCTGACTTACTTCAGTGTTTCAAGCTGAGTTGATTCTCAAGCTTGCTATCTGTCATAGCACTTCAGATTCAGTGCACATATTCTTAATGATAAATGTGCCCTTCAGTGGTAACCCATTCAGCTTTTAAAAAAATGTTCCACGGAGATGGTCTGAATTCTATCAAATGTGACTTGTTCAAATAATTGCAAAGCAAATATTGCTCAGAACATATCTTCAAAACATTTTGGGGCTGATGCCTGAAGAACATTTTCAAAACTATCAAATTTGAATCTCTCACAAAGTTCAAAATATTGTGAGCGAGACATACAAAACAAACTTAAGTAAGATATCCAAAAAATAAATGTATTATGATCACTCTTAGCATTCTAGATTTTATAAATAGGCACATTGAATACGAAAGCAAGGAAGTAATAACACATTTGTCCAAGACAGTGGTTAAGGCGCAGTTAGAGTACCTATTATATATTTCAGCATCTGCGAAGAGACATGAATAATGAGTCCCCAAAAGTTTTTTGGGGGGTCAAGTATAAGAGAGCATCTCCTCACTGATAGGAGATATCTCTATTTTTCCAATTTTACTTGGATATGCTTGATTACTATTGCCTGTCAAGTGGGATTCCTTTAAAAGCCAATGTAAATTTCATAAAGTATCATTTGAATCTACTAGAATTCATTGAGTCTTTGAAATAAGTAAACTGTTCAATGTATTTAAAACAATTGAGCCTGCAGCTCATTAGAATGCCCTTTGCCCTCTCTCCCGTAAATGACTTCTATTCATTCTGCATATGCATTGTATTTTCTCATATTTGTCTTATCACTTGAAATCCTCTAGTGAAAATAAATTTAATTAAAGTATTTTATAAGGTCCCTCATGAGATTTAAAGTAAACAGAAGCTTGTGACAGCATTGAACATCATGCGTAGATCAGCATTTCCCCCAAATAGAAAAAATGAGCTATTGGAGATCCATCAGCATTTATCTCATGTCTATCTTGCAGTTTCTCAACACTGTCTTAAACTACCTCTTGTCTATTCCCTTTGATCCACGCCAAAATCCCAAATTGTCCATTACTTAAGGGGTTCAAACAACATGTTCTCTTGCCGAGGAATATATTAGTGATGAGCTTGAAGAAAGCAAACACTTAAAAGCATTTTGAAGTAATCCTGATTTTGCAACAGTGTTTCTTTGGCTAAAAGGGTTTAAATAACCTTGTTTTAGTTTTCACAGCAGAGAAGATATATTAATGGGTTTCAGCATTAGTGCTGTTTGTTTGCTTTTAAAAAATATATATCTTCCAACTGTTCTTCGATATACAGGCCAAAAAGGACAAACAGTCTTCTTAAAGTCACACATTTTATTGTTCACAGCATTGGTTTAAAACACACCTATATGATGGATCTTTAAAAATTTAGAGCAGTATTTGGATGTCACAACATTAATCCAAAACTCCACAACAATATGTATTTTTAATGAACCATAATCAACAGTTCCATTCACTATCTTCCCAGATTGCGTTTCTGACGATATCTACAGATATTGGGCTCACAATGACGGTTAATCCCAATTGACTACACACTTTAACTGTCAACAATAGTGATAGAAAATCCGTTATGATAAAAACTGACACTTGCATTTTTTTTGCCTTATTTAGGTATTCAAACACAAGTCCTTGCGTCTCAACATCATGAAATACAGTCTGGACATCACTGACAAAGAAATCAAAATGTTCCCCTGATGTTTAAATGCGTTGTATGTCTTTTCTACTGTGAAATAAGCACCAGGAAAGACCTGTGTTTGATGCCTGGCCTGTGCTGATTTCGTTGATGTTTTCCAGAGCAGTTCTGGGGGCATTGTAATTGGCCTCAGTATGTACTTCTAGGGTAGAGAAAAATCACCCAGAGTTCTTCTCATGATCTCTATCCAGTGGCACTGACTGGAAAGTATTAGTTTGTGAGTTAGCGTTGGGTGAGTCCAAGATGCAGTTTGAATTTAATTCCCCTCCAGAAAAATTCCCCTCATTCATCACCACTTGCCAGATACACACTAAAGTAATCTGATACACACTTTTCTGCTTGATTACTTTTTCTTGAATAGTCAAATCATCACAACATCTGTTTCACATATATCCTCTGATTAGGATTCAACAGCAAGTCTATGTTGAATGTTTATTCTCCACAATAATCCAAAATTCCACCAGTAGACATGTGTGTGGATATAATTAAAAGTAATGTTATTTTCTTAGATGTATAAGTCTCAATCTGGGTGTCCAAAGACCACATGTGGGGCTTGAATCCACAACCTAATGACTCAAAGACAAGTGTTATCAATTGAGCCAGACTGATACTCAAGCTATAAGGAGATGAAATCAGCAAGGAAGTACTTAGTATTAAAAACATAAAGAACGATTTTGTAAATATATGAAAACATCTGAAGATCACAAGATTGGTTTGAAGAAGACCCTACAGCCCATTTGATCTCATTCTTCCAGAGTAATGATCACCCGTCTCATCACAGTATCAACCTAAAAGAATTGTAACATGCAACACTGGTGCTGATTCTTGTTTGGTGCACTCATACCAATTTTTACTGGGCTTTCAATTGAGAGTCTTGTTAGGGAAGTAAAATCAGAAAGTGAGTTGACAAGGACAAAATCTGAATACAATGTTCTTGTAACTCGAAACCAGCAGTAAATGAAAAGTGAGCATTGAGTTAAACAGCTGAGTATTTAATAAGCTGCAATAAAATCGAGGTAGTTTATTTTGCCTGAGATAGATCTCTGCATTGAAGTAAAAATATCCTCTAAAAGCTTTTCTATTTACTATTTTTTCTTTTATCCACTTCAGATTGTATTCCATAAATAATTGCTATCACATTTCAAGTGCAGTGTTACAGGTTTTTACGGTCAAAAGAAATGTTTATGTGCCCAGTTCCATCCGAAAACTTACGATACATCAAAACATAATTGCTGACTTCCTACTATAGTATTTTATCAAAACATGCACAGGTTTGAGTAATCAATGTTGTAGCAATATTTATGTGGTGACACAACAGGAGTTGGTTGGAGTGGATTTATTGCACATCGTTTGATTTTTAAATAGCAAATACTAGTGCACACTAATGTGCTCTTATTCCCAGCTATTAGTACTGTACCACAGTGTTGTAGATCTAACCCAAGGGTACAATAAACTAAGTCTTTAAAAGTGAAACTTGGTTATAATCAGGTTAACAGTCACATAACACATCTCTGGTCATGTGTCTGGTTTCTAGAGAGATTAAACAAACAACAATATGTGTCATAGTACCAATTTTGAGTCAGCTGTTTAACATTGAAAATAAACTACTAACATGTACAATACGCATGTATTTTTGTATGGCAGTGATTGAGGTGCTATGTAATAAATAGCATTTTATGTGTTCTAAAGTGAGAGACATAAAATGGGTATTATTGTGACTGAGATTTATAAAAGCAATTGAATGCATATTACCATCAACCATCACAACTTTTACTGAACATTAAGGAGGTGAGTAAATATTGGATGTAATAATTGCAAATGTACAAAACTATTTTGAGGTAGGATTCTTCTACGTTCATTGGACATGGGTAGGAATTCTTTCGAATTATAATTTCCAACAGATGACTGTAATGCACTATCTTTCTGAGAAATCAGCAGGAGGTTGTGTTATTCAGATCTGCTTAGGAATGCAATGCTCAATAAGATTCATGCCTGTTAATCAATCTACAGTTTCTCTTTTATCCGTGATATAGATTATAATTTTTCTGTGTTACTCTCTGTTTTAATTGATGCCTCAAAAGACTCAGTGCTAAGTTATCCCCATCCTTCTGTCCATATAATATTTTTTTTAAAAACTTAAATGAGTAATAAACAATTGAGTGAAAAATGTTCCTCCACTGCATTAGTTCCATCCATATTTACTGTGAGGAGCAATACTTTATTCCTTCGTTAAATCATATCTTTCTAATAATGACAGCATCACAACTGTTGACATAACAGTGACACAATTTGAAACATTGCATTATTGTATTGTGCTTAAGATAAATTTCATTTTTGCTTGTCGAGGATAGTGGTGGTCCTAAGATATTTGCTTTGAAGGGAGTATAATTAAAATCACATGTACAAAGAAATCAGCCAACAGAACATAATCGTATAGAATCATCTTCGATTTATAGTTTATACACTGTGATCTCTTACTATCTCACTTGTATGACCTAGCTATTTGTTCAGAGCTGTCAGTTACCTCAAGATGACAAGATTGGTTCGGATGTGGAAGGCCTTTTGGCCTATTTGATCTCATCCTTCCAGAATCCTGCAACTTAAAGTGTTGTTCTGGTTCTAAAGGTCAAACTTTAGAACAACACAGACTGAGAGCGGGTGGAATTCCTGTCCTCGTGCTACTTCTTCTATCTGACATAGGGTCTTAATCTTAAGGCTACACATAAATCAATAACCTACCAAATTTGCAGAGTCCTTCATAGTTAGAGCAGACTCATCAGGTAGCAATTCTAGGCAGACAGCCAATATTTTAACCTAAGGCAGTTTGAAATGCATTGATGTGCAAATGCAATGCTGTCGATGTAACACTTTATATTCTATAAATTTAATAGAATCAATTTTAATGCCGTCTACACCAGTTATTTCTTGTAGAGTTTTGAAGGAATTAGATTTTTTTATTTTAAACGTAGAACTGACATGTCCACCCTACCATTGGTAATAAGTTATACAACCAACAAATAAATTAGCGAAGAATCAATTAAACACAAAGGTTGAACAGATTAGTAGATCAACAGAAGAAGAGTGAGGAAGAATTATTAATGCAACCACAGGAAATCCAGTTTAATGATTCTGCTTATGAAAAACAAATTGAGAGCACACAACTTGAAAATCAATTATTCTGATTTTCCAAGGATAGGTTGGGTTTGTAAATATTATTCTTGAGTCTGCTGATGTTACTTCCAAAGAAAAGTGGTAATATATAACATGCAGATAGCATCCCATTTGTTAGAAAATATGGCAAAATGCATGTGAATGTTTCAGCTATGATTGATTTTCAATCTTAACCTATTACTGCACCAAAAAGGCTGAAAGCATGAACCCACATTACCAATTAAGCATTAACTGTTTGTTCTGCAGAATTACTTACAGCATCATCTGAATCTAACGTTCCTATAACCACTCACTGTCCTATAATTAAAACCATCATTAACAGGATGGCCGAACACAGAAACATAACTAGCAACTCTGACAGAAAAAGATATGGAGTACTTATTTCTATCTAAACATTCCTATTGACCTTGCTTGTAGAACTGACATTATAAGGCAATTTAATTTAGTAAGGCACTTGACTTTGGATCAATAGGTTGCGTTTTTTGTTGTAGGCAAACCATCCCTGATAGATAATTCTATTTGTTTCCTTTTCTGTTCAGGTGAATATGCTATGAATACCGTATTGTAAAATTAGATGTTTCTCTAGTACGAGAATTAAATACAATTCAGATAATATACCAATGGCGGTTGAAATAAAACTATTCACGTCAGTGTTTGCAGTTTATAAAACAAATATAATCATCATATATCACATCAAAGCAATAATTATTATCTTATTATTATTGTGTGAAGCGCTTTGAAACATCTCAATGACGTGATAAGGCGCTATATCAAATGTAAGTATTATTATAATCTGCAGTTACTTTTCCTTAATTTAGGAATGATAACATTTTTATGAACCGGTTTGGTTATTTTGCAAACAGAGGTAAAACAGTTTTGCTACAATATGTCTACCATTGGTAAGAATAAGTTATACAACCTACAAATAAATTAGCGAAGAATCAATTAAATGCAAAGGTTGAACAGATTCGTAGGTCAACAGAAGAAGAGTGAGGAAGAATTATTAATGCAACCACAGGAAATCCAGTTTAATGACTCTGCTTATGAAAAAACAGATTGAGAGCTCACAACTTGAAAATGGTCACTAGGGATGGTGATGGGAATTCCTCAAGTGTCAGCCACCAGGATGAGCAAAAAATAAGATCTCTTTCGCCTGTGGGAAAAGGAATCGTTATGAACGTGGAAAACATGGGACGTGGCGGAGATTTGGGATATCCCAGGTCATCTGATGGAATTAAACCTTACACTAGCAATAGGTGAAAGAGACTCAGGAAACAATAATCAGGTTTGTTGGCTATTCAAATGAACTGGAGAGCTATAGCCCTCTCTGTATATGCTGATACTGTCACTTCAGGTGGATCTGAGATCTGTGATATGGATGATTATTATTATATTATTAAGTATCTGTGTCAAAGGCAAACACAACGCTGATCTATATACTTCTGGCATATATATATATACAGTCAATTCACTTTATAATATATTCTGTGAAGCGCTTCGAGACGTCTCAAAGACGTGATGAGGCGCTATAACAAATACAAGGCTTATCATTATTATATACACTTCCACATTGAAATTACTGTACTTCAATGAGGGTTTCCTGCCACTTTCTTCTGAGAAGTCGCAGACCGAGTGGATGGATGTTTCAATCGAAACAAACGAACGGGTTCGCCGGATATTATCGCGCTCTGGGAACAAGCCCCCAATCGATAGCAAGAAACAACGGCAGAGACACAGGATTTCCGACTTAGACACACACGCGCACACTTGGCTCCCCCCCACTTGGCGGAAGGCGGTGTCTCATTCACAAAAGAAAATAACTTGGGTGGACAGACAGCAAGAGCAACATTTTGTAGGTACGACCAACCAACCAACCAACCAACCAATCAACTATACACTCTATCCAGGTCTACAGATCTGTATCTCTCTCTATCTCCCTCTCTACCCATCTATGCGTACAACCAATTTACTCAGCAATTACATGGACAGGACGCTGTGAAGCAGCTGACGATGGTTTCCTGAATGAACCAATTGCCATTCACCCAACACGAGCAGCCGGTGGCTCATCAGCGAAAGGCAGATCAACAAAGGCGGATTATAGCTGCACATCATTGCCCAGTTTGTGAAATAAATGTATTTATTAGGATCAGGGCAGCTTAACCCTCCAGCAACACTCTGCAATGCAATGCCATAGAAAGACCCCCACCCCCATATGACAGAGAGGGGGTGCAATAAAACCAGTCACTATTAACCCAGGGACACACCAACAATTACGAATCGTCAGCGTTTGCGTATTATGCGTAGCATGGGAAGCTGTTCCCAGAGTCTTTCACAGGGATGGGTGGCTGGACACCAGCGGATCGATGGAAACGCCATCGATTTTGCTTTTCCTTTTTGCTCGTTCGTTCGTTCGTTCGTTCGTTCATTCCGGGGGGAAAAATAGAGAAAAAAAACGCGATTCGCAAACGATTCGCAACCTCAGGCGTTCGTCAAGCGATGGGTCTTCGCTGTGTTCAGAGTTCTTCTGTGGTGTGTGTGTGGGTGTGTGTTTTTTTGCACTTACAGTTTTATGCAGCAGTATAACACAGACTGTGTGAATAACAGTCTGAATGGCAGTGAAACAGTCTGAATGGCAGTGAAACAGTCTGAATGGCAGTGAAACAGTCTGAATGGCAGTGAAACAGTCTGAATGGCACTGAAACAGTCTGAATGGCAGTGAAACAGTCTGAATGGCAGTGAAACAGTCTGAATGGCAGTGAAATAACACCAACACTTTCACCAGCGACGCTTTCAATATCCCAAATAAAGCCAAGTTAAACAAGGCAAGGATTTACTTAACATTCATTCCAGTTCAGTTATTTCCTTGGCTGTTAAGCCTTTTTTTTTGGGTGGGTTGGTTGGTTGGTTGGTTGGTTGGTTGGTTACTGTAGTTCATTCGACTCAGCTTAGCTAATCGTGTATCAGTGTGAAAAGCACAATCCCTGCTCCGATGGAGCAATCGTGGGTGAGAACTCTTATTTAAATCCTTGCATTTTGCATTTTGCATTTGATATTTTTTCACCGTCTCAGTCAATTTTCCGACCTCTTTTCCTTCAGTGCAGCCGCTGGTGCGCCCTCCTTCCTCCCACTGCACATCACTGTGCGTCGGGGTGGGATTCTGCTGCCGTGCAAAAGGCAATTGCAAAAGGCAATTGCTTTCTCCTTTGCGAAGAGAAAGAGATGCCACAGAGGGAGAGAGAGAGAGAGAGAGCACACAGTACACCAAACGAGCTGCAGAGGGGCTCGAGTCCCAAACGCCTGGCGTTGCAATTACAATGAGCATTCACTCCTTGGGAGGTGACTGACTGTCTGTCAGAGGGGCGATCGATAATCCATCGATTTCACCGTGACATCCATGGCCAGGACTGGGATCGTGTGCATTGGAGTCTCACTGACACCGAACTGGTTAACCTTGCACTCCTCCCTTTTTTTTTGGAACAGCAACGCACCGAATACCTCGAGGAAACTGCAAAATAGGCTTTGGATCTGTTTGCATAATAATAATCATCATCATTATTATTATTATTATTATTTTCAGAAAGCATTGTGCATGCATCCGACTTTTTTTGTGTGTGTGTGTGTGTGTGTGTGTGTGACTCAAATGGTCAGAGATGCACTACTTATTTCAGCTCTGCTCTGCAACTATGACCCACATATCCATTCAAAAAAAAATCAAAGCACTCCGACCAGTCCCTCTCATACCTTGTGCGCTTTCTCACTCTTTTATTTCCAAAGACGCTCTGCAGTTCCTTCTGCATTAGAGGGGCAGAAGGGAGAGTCTCTGCGATGGAAACGACACCGAATCCTGGGTGCAGAGCAGTTAGTTCCCTACCGACTGCGTCTTCGTTTCGTTTTCGTGTTCGAATCGAGTTACCTCCTTTCCCAAATGGATTACTTTTTTTTATTTATTTTATTTTATTTTTTTTTTTGCAAAAAAAATAAAAAAATGAGAGACCCCCCCCCCAAAAAAAAATGTGCCTCGGAAGCCACGCAGAGCTGATGGCAAAGACTACATACAGAACGGACCATTCGTGTTGTTGCATCCGTCAGTCACACACACACACACACAGACACACACACACACACACACACAGTTGTTTTCATGTGAACAGAGTTGGACGTCTTCAGCACCAAACAGTGAAACCTCGACGTCAGCGGTGTTCCTATGAGGGATCCGCACTTTATCGGTCATTATTGGCTGTGCCTTCTTACGGCAGCATCAGCACTCTGAGCCTTGCAAATGGTACCATAGGACTGCCATCTATTTTATTTTACACACACACACACACACACACACACACACAGAGGCTGGAAAGAGAAAGAAAGAGAGAGAGAAAGAGAAAGAGAGAGAGAGAGAGAGGATGCATCCAAGAGCAGCATTTTCACATCAATCGTAGGAGTGGGAAGTCGTCTGTCTCATCCAAGAAGTTGGACCAGTTTATATCTCTCCAGGTTTCAAGTATACATCGGAGGTGATCAGGTGGATGGATTACTCGCTGTGCACGCAAGGATGTGAAAGATGTTAGACTGAACGCCAGGCAAACAAACAAACAAACAAACAAACAAACAAAAAAAAAACCAAAAAAAAAAAAAAAACCATCTGTATCCCTCTCTGGCACGTTTGGTCCTGATGCTGCGAGCCCTGGGATAATGGTCCTTTAAACTGACCCCCCCACGTTTCTCCAGGTTGTTCTCCGCAGCCATGTCGAGAAGAGCCAAGCTCGACTTTTCCGAGGTGGAAAGTTTCCTGGATAACCACCCGGATCTTTTCGAAGACTATCTCCTGAGGAAAGGGAAAGCCAGCGCCGTGCAGAAGTGGCTCAAGCTGCAGCATCAGACCAAGGCGCCCGCGGCGCCCCCGACTCCCATCTCGGAGGAGAAACCCATCACCGCCTCCAAGGAGTGCTGGACCACCAGAGGCGATGGGCTGCAGAGGAGACCCTCGCAGAAAGAACTCAGGAAAACTTTCGCCAGGTCCAAAGCTCTGACTGTCAACAGGACTTACGACGAGCATGTGAACTCCAGGGACAAGGAGCCCCTGTCCAGCATGAGGAGGAGAGCTCTCTTGAGGAAGGCCAGCTCCTTGCCTCCCACCACAGCTCACATCCTGAGTGCACTGCTGGAATCCAGGGTCAACATCCCCCAATACGCCTCCAGAGCCATCGACTACAAATACGAAGTCAAGGACACCAACGAGAGGGAGTTCTTCCTGGAACTGGTCAAAGACATCTCCAATGACCTGGACTTGACCAGCCTGAGCTACAAGATCCTGATATTTGTCTGCATCCTGGTGGACGCCGACCGATGTTCCTTGTTCCTGGTGGAAGGCACTGCCAACAAGAAGACCCTGGTGTCCAAATTCTTCGATGTGCACGCAGGCACCACCGTGCTCCCCTCGTCCAGTGTGGAGAACTCCAACGAGGTGCAGGTGCCATGGGGCAAAGGGATCATTGGGTATGTGGCTGAACATGGAGAGACAGTCAATATCCCTGATACCTATCAGGTAAGCAGGTCTCCCACTCCCCCCCCCTCTCTCTCTCTCTCTCTCTCTCTCTCTTTCTCTCCCCCCCAACACACCCACTCACACTCACACTCACTCACACACTTAAAACACAACCCACTAACATCCTGGTTCAGACTTATTTTTGTAGGGAAGTGTGGATATTACACAACTGTAAGCAAATAGATGTATATACAGACCCAGTATATTATATGTTATGTATGTGCATGCATATATAATATATAGTATGTACATATATTACAATATATACTAAAATATAAATATACACTGATATTATATATATTATACTAAAATATAAGGCAAAGCAACTGCTCCAATAATTGTAGAAGCTTTTTGAAGCAAACTTTCCTCTCCTCATATGGAAGTGTTCTTCAGGAACACGAGAACATACGAGCATTTTAACGCTGCAATAATCCAACGGTGGTTCTTACTCTCACGTAACACAAACTGGAAATAATCTAACACTTAATCCTTTTTTTTTTGTAAAGCTATTCGGTTGACGGGCAAATTGTAGGATCGGATAAAGAGCGATTATGTCTTATCTTCTTTGCTAGGGTTTTAATGTTTCAGCCATCTGAGCCATTGACAGTGTGATCTCTGATGAAATAATGAATGAAATGATCCAAATGTTTGCGAGAATTCATTCCAGTGCTGTTTCTCGTCGTCGGGTAAAATGAGGGAATCAGATCACACTCACATTATCAGATGGAGATATCTGGATTCCAATTTTTTTTGGGGGAAAAAAAGGCCAATTCTCAATGAACGATGGGTGCATGATTTTTGAATTGGTGTTTTCCTGGAATCTAGTTTCATTGCTGATGGATAAAAATTCCAACAGAAAATCCTCACTGCTCTTTTCTTAAAAAAAAAGGAGGAAATGCAATACAAACCTTACGTGGGTTGTTCTTAATGAGAATTTGATACATCGAGGCAGGGAAGTGGCTAATAGATTGGGAAGAGGACAGAGTCAACAAACCCACAACGCCACCAGCAATAATTTGTTCAGACACTTAACAGATGCTCTCCCCACATTCATTGTGGGTCACAATAAATGGGAGTCGTTGAAAATAAAGGTAAAACTCATGCATTACACGTCGGAACGCCACTGATTTGAGTGAAGATTTAGGGCCTGGGCCAATAAGTGCCTCTTCTTAGAAATGGAAGAAAATGTCAGATGGGGTGGGAGAGGGGGAGAGAGGGAGGAGAGAAAGAGTGGTGAGTCCAGGAATGTCATTAGGAGGTTCATCTGGAGGAGTGAGACAGGATCTTGTCAATTGAAGTCTAGTTCAAAGACAGGAACATTGAACATATGTGGCATAATTGCACAGTAGGTAAAGCATGGATTGATGACTGTTAAACCCCAGACGATAAAGGGTTAATACAATCCCCAAAATGAATCTGTGCAGCATTTAGGTGTCTCGACTGTTTGGCAATAACTGGTGATATTGGGGCTGTGCATTTGCTGAATTTAACTTTGGTTCATTTTGGATGAGGATACAAGTAATTGCAGTGCACAACGTGCAGTTATTTTCTCGAATGAATCGGTGTTAACCGTTTCTAACCCTTTTTGAGTGGTCTCCGGGGTGCTAAAACAGTTCAGAACACCCGTGCTAAAAAAAATTGCCCGTTATGTGAACCAGTTTTACTCCGGGGGGGATGGTCCAAAAATTCCACGTGAATTTGCTTGCATTTATTTGCTGTATCAGTATCACGATGCAATTCACTCACAACCGAAAATAGTGGGCACTGAGTGAGACTCTTGAAGTTTAGCATTTAGTGCAGTGCACAGACTGAATCCTGTGGTTAAAGAGGATCCACTGGGCTCTTAAATGTTTGCAGATGGCACATTTCAAAATAACTCCTGAGAACACAGCAAGCAAGCTCCAAAAATAAAGGCCATATGGAGCAACTGGCTTGTGGAAATTTATAGCAACCATCCAACCCACATAATCGTCTCCATCAGTCTCTCCAGTAATTTATCGACAGAGAGAGAGAGAGAGAGAGAGAAAAAGAGAGGAGAGAGACTTTGCCAACAGGGGACGCTGCAAAGTTATCTCCTCATCTGTGAAAAATATTTTTTTCCCTGCAATAAAAAGTAAATACTTTGATGCCTTTGAATCTTGGAGTTTGCTGAGCTCAGTGCTCCACATGGCTGTGTGGCTATTTAATTCTGGTTGCACCTCACCTCGAAATGACAGTGAGTTTCAGTCCCACGCTTATCAATCAAAGTGATATTCACAGCAATAATTTTTTTATTAACATGTCCAAATTTATCAATTGTTGCATTTACTTCCACTTTCTCTCTCCCTCTCCCTCTCTCTCTCTCTGTCTCTCTACATATATCGAGCTGCTTCCTGCAGTTTTAGATGCTGGCATGATTTCATACTAATCATACTATTTATATATCTTAATACCTGTATAATTTTTGCCTATATTTCTACTCTGTAAGTATCGAACTGCCTCTTGCATCTTTAGATGCTGGCAATGACAAGCACAACACTTGTGTATCTTAATATCTGTACAGTTTTATACTTTGTGGGTTTTTTTTAAACAATATTTATATAATTTGATGAATTTTATTTAAATTTCATGAGTGGGTATAATTAATAGTTATATCTAAACTCGACCCATTTTAATGTTCCTTTCATTAGCCCTAATTTATTCCATCTTGTCTACCTGCCTTACCTTCCTCTGCCCTAGCCAGAGTTGGCAGGATGGCACAGCAAACAGATTGTCCTCAGCACACATGCTGTCAATGCTGTTCCTTGGATGAGCTAAGGAAAGGAAAAATTCCTTACATGGAATTGTACACCACAGAAACAGGCCTAACTAGTCCAGGCTACACCCCATGATTCTCCATCATTCCTAATCCTTTCTCCCAAACCACTCCATTCCCCTCTGGCTCATGCATGCATTGAATTTCGTCTCCTATCTGGATGGTTTTTGTTTCAACCGCATCTTCTGTCCTTCTGACACTTTCTCTCTCTCCTTCAAACAGTCCAGGCAAGAAAAAGATAAAGAAGCACAAATCTTAGGCAAGACTGAGGTTTGAAATGCAATATAATCACATGGGCTATCCAAACTGAACTGCCAACATTTATGATTCATTAAGATTATAGTTTAAATGAATGTTGATCTACTTAATCCTTGGACTAATTCTAAATTTTTTTGCCACTTACTGAGCACGTTGCCATTTATTACCTTTTAAGCTCCTTCTGCCCTCTAGAGTTTCAGATGTTTATAGTATTCCCTCCTCTTGAGGGTAAGCAGGTGTGTTCTCAGTCATTGCTGATGCAAAAACCAGCAATTGGGCGGTGAACAAGAATGATTGGCTTACTCTCAAATTTTTCCTAATTTTCAGTCGTGAGTTTCTTAGGACTTACTCCACCCATAACCAGGCAATCTTCCTTAAGATCATAAAGTGTCTGGAAATGTTACAGCAGAAATCATTCTTTTATTGATCAGCTAGAATACCTTTAGGTCAAATATATATATAATAATGTGCAAATATTTTACTGCCAGGTTTCTAAACTGTTGAAATGAGATTCCTTAATGACTAATATAGAAAACATCTGCAGTATTACAGTGGTGCTTTCTAAAGAACATCTTGCTGAAGAGCACAATCCAGTTTGTGCAGCCAAAGTGATCATATTCCATTTCAAAGCTCAGTCTTGCCTACAAAGATTTGTGCTTGGTGTCTTTTTTGTGTTTTAATTGTGTTTCATTCAGCCCACCACCAGTTACTCTCTGTAATGAATAACTGGCACTTTAAAAAGCATTAAAAATGCTAAGAAACATTAAGAGCCTGTTCAGTTGCTTCTCTGAATGAATGTTCAGTGGATTAACGACTGTTTGTGGGACACTGCTGTGTGCAATTGGCTGCCGCATTTTGTCCACAGAACACCCAATCAATTCACTTTACAGTATATCATGTGAAGCGCTTTGAGACGTCTCAACAATGTGATGAGTTTCTATACCAAATGCAAAGATTATTATTATTATAAATGTTAAAATTGTTAAGAAAAGAGTGAAATGTTAAAATGATAACTACCGATCGCGTTGATCTTTAAGCATCATCAACAAGCTCACAAAAGTTTTATGCTTGAGAAAAACCTCTTAACAGTCAAACAAATACTTTGGTCTTTGGTCTTAATTCAGACTAAAACTGATACTGCTGTACCCAAGTCTCCCCCTCCATTGCAGTTTGTTGAGGTGCTCAGGAAAAGGCCTGTGAATAAGTATTCGTATCTTGCTTGACATTGATACAGATTTCGCATGTAACCATTGCTCTCTTATGTTCTTGTTGCACCTAATCTGCCAGCACAAGTAAGGGTATTGATTAATATCACTTCAGTGTAAAGACTGAAGGATTAGTGGTCCAGATTTTTAAATTATTCCAGCCAGAATTCCCAAATCAGATGAGTTGGATTTCATGTGGCCATCATTAAATTAGTTGTAAATCCTATGGGATAAGAACCAAGTTGAGAAGTATTCCTTTATTATGCAGTAGATTTTGCAACGGTATTCATTCTTTCTGCCCAGAATAAGTTTGCATTTTATATGGGAAGGGTTGCAGTTAATTTGCTTAAGAATATTTTGCTTTGTTATGGCCTATTAAATTGTCCCCACACCATGGTTCACATTCTTTCGTGCCAAGAAAAAACAGTTCCAATATCACAAAGCAAGGATGCTGTTTCACACATTTCGATGATATATTTCTCATTTAAAATACCACTTGTTTATCTGCATGATCGAGAGTTACATTAATGTTACTCTTATTAAATAATAAAGTATTTGATTTGGAAAGTTTGCTACAAAAATAATGTGGATTTTTGTATCTGTGCATTAATTTACACAATATTGTTTTGGTATGATTTGCAAGCTGGGCAGTTCAAGCACAGTTTATAGATACTAACACCATTGACAGCTTAAAATATACATTCCCATTCCCTTTCTGAACATAATGATAAAGAAATTGTTCA